CCCCCCCCGGTTTATATGTTTGTAGCCTTATGTAAAACCAAGAGTAAGCAAACATTGAAGCCCTTTATGTAACTTGCCCTTGAGTTAGATCACATTAGCGTTTGAATGCTCAATTTCGGCGGTTTATTGGTTATTTTAGATTTATTTTTATATCCCCAGTCTCGAAAACTTGGTGAACAAAATGGGCGCATATCAACATCTCTGAAAAAGGAACATAATTTCACCTTGGCATCAAATTATGGATGAAATCCATTGGAAATAAGACTGTATGTGTTTATGGACTAAACGATAGTGTGAAAGGAATAAGCTTGAATCCTTAGATGCAACACTCCTCGGGAGCTTTCCCATCAACCAATCCCCTATTTCAAGGTCAAGTGTGATAAGCGGGCTCAGGGATCAATGGTTCATCTAATGATCCTATACTTTAAAAGTAGATGGAGTGATCAAGCGACCCTTCTTGCACCAATGGCATAGAGTGATGCGTCAGTATAAACATCGAACTCCTTATTCCAATCCGGAAACTGAAGGATTTGGGCTGACAGCAGACATCCATCTGCATGCTTAAAGGCTTAATCTTGTTCCGTTTCCCAAGCGTTATGCCTTTCTTCTGCAATGATTCCATTTTGGGATTCCACGCTGGCTTATTATTTGTTAGTCTGTTCAAGTACCTGTCTCGCATAATAATTTAGAGAAGGCAAAATGGAATTAATTTTCTCCAAAACATTGGATATGTCCTTTTGATCATTCATCAATAGGATACGCTTGATTTCGAATAAGACCAATTGAGATATCAGGAAACAATAATCAGCATTTCCAGTTATGTTTGGGCAATGTAACTCGAAGATATTTGCGTCAAATGCTGTATCATTACAATTGACCATCATAGAGCCAATGTGCTAAAAGTTTCCAACTCCCTACACTTGTGAAAGTTCCCAAACAGGAAAATGATCTTCGAACTACTGGTTGGAAAAAAACAAACTTCAGTGACTATGCTGAGAAAAAGGAAAACAAATTATCTACTTTAAAATGAAGGAATTGAGTTGGAAAAAGGATGTCTGCGGATCATGGTGGCTTGTTCAAAGGCAAAAGCAATCTCAATCAGCTTTGGTTCACTTCCTTTCACCCCTCCAAAACATATACCAAACGGCATACCATTAGTACTATTATAACCAGCAGGAACTATTATTGCTGGATATCCTCCAATAGCCAACACTGTTGAAACACCTGAACCTAATGTCACTAACGCATCCAGTTCATTTTCTATCATCAGTTTCTCAAATCCATCTTCTGAAAGTTTCTCCATCATCGCCATCGCCTTCCTCTCTTTCTCTCCGATCCCTTTTGTTGCTTCTGCTGCTATGAAAACTTCTTGACTAAAGCTTTTACTTCTTTCCTGTATTTGTATTTGCAACAACCAAATAGTAAAATAGGATAATAATTTGTTATAGTCGGTTAAATTACAGTCAGTGTATACAATGTAAATCCATAGTTTTAGCGAAAGAGATATAGCTTGCAAAAGAAAACTTCTATAACTAAATGACAGTAACCATGTCAAAAGCACAGGATTGAAGAAAGGACATACCAATTCTGGGTTATTCTGGTTGAAGGCAATTATCTCAGCGAGTGATCTGACTGGGGATGTGACTAGTTCTGTTAGATAATTGTTGAGTGAGAGCTTGAACTCTGCTAGTAATGCCACTTCCGCACCACTTTGATTGGGGTCTAAGACCACATCAATATTTGGTATTTCAAGATTATCTAATACAACTGCACCTCTTTGCCTGAACTTTTTTAGAAAAGAAAAAAAAAGTTAAATGTGTTACTAAGAGTATAAATCTTGCACACAAAGGAAAAAAATGATGAAATGTTAAACTCACTAAACTATAATGCTCATACTTTTACCTTAGCGTCTTCAAATGACCAGTCAATACCGCATCAGCTTGATACACATCGGAAAGGGCCAAGAAAGGATGTCTTACCACACCCAATCTCTTTCCCTTAAGGCCATCTTCATTGAGAAATTGTTTATAACCACCGGCTGGAATGAACTTTGCTGCTGCCCTTGTTGCTTCAAGGTCTCTTATATCGAAGCCAACAATGGAATCAAGAACATATACAGCATCTGAAACCGTTCTGCATATGGGCCTGCAAATTTGATCTTCAGCAATATAATATAATATTTTTGCCTATGCTGCCTACACTAAGTTTAGATAAACTAAATAAGCAATCGGGCATATCCTACATAGACTTTCAAATGTAGTAGCTTTAGGCGCAACCAGCAACACCACACAATAGCTGTGTTGCGGAAGTCAAATGTATATAGTGTGAATAAGTCACAACTACTATACCAAAAATTATGACAGCCACCAAATAATAAATAAGAGAAGATTGAAGATGTGGAATTTTGCCAAGGTGGAGATTTGTTAAATTTGGCAAAGTCCCACATCGGTGGGTTAGCCATTTGGTTGGGAAATTTTCCCTATAAAAGAAGAGGCCTAATGTTTAGGATTTAGACACACTTCTCATTTGCCTTCTCATCTGTTTAAGGCATTTGTATCTTCTCT